GCCTGGGGGCTTTACCAGGACTAACCAAGAAAAGTCCTAAAGCCGGAAGTGATCTTAGAAATCAACCGCGTTCCGGGAAAAAATCTCAATATTGTATTCGCCTAGAAGAAAAACAAAAATTGCGTTTTCATTATGGTCTTACAGAACGACAATTACTTAAATACGTTCGTATCGCCGGAAAAGCCAAGGGGTCAACAGGTCAAGTTTTACTACAATTACTTGAAATGCGTTTGGATAACATCCTTTTTCGATTGGGTATGGCTTCGACTATTCCCGCAGCCCGCCAATTAGTTAACCATAGACATGTTTTAGTGAATGGGCGTATAGTAGATATACCAAGTTATCGCTGCAAACCCCAAGATATTATTACGGCGAAGGATGCACAACAATCCAGAACTCTGATTCAAAATTCTCTCAATTCTTCTCCTCATGCAAAAGTACCAAACCATTTGACCCTCCACCCATCCCAATATAAAGGATTAGTGAATCAAATAATAGATTATAAGTGGGTCGGTTTGGAAATAAATGAATTGCTAGTTGTAGAATATTATTCTCGTCAGACTTAAACTGAAATTCAAATCAAATTGCAAGGCTTTAGTCAACTTTCTTCTTTTTCATCAAATTAATCTAAGGTTAGGTTAAGTCAGAAAAAGACGGGTTTGGTCCCAAAATTTTCCCATTTATGGATCCTAACCCGAAAGGCCGTTTTGATATTTTTTTCAGTATTCGAGTTTAGCACAATTCGGAATGGAATAGATTCTCTATATCAATAAAGGGTCTAATTGGTCGAATAAAGGTCTCCGTTGCTATTTGATCTGGTGTTATTAATAAAATGGTATGGATAAGGTACGGAAAGAGAGGGATTCGAACCCTCGGTAAACAAAAGCCTACATAGCAGTTCCAATGCTACGCCTTGAACCGCTCGGCCATCTCTCCTACATAATGATTATCAAAAACCAAGTGAGTAGCGAGTTATTCATATTCCCTTCTAGTCTAGATTATTGGATAGGTACGACCACAATCCAATTTAACTATATATTACAATATTACAAACATCTTACAAAATATTACAAACAAATAAAAATAGAAAATTTTTCATCAAAGTAAAGAAAGATCTTTCTTTCGAGGTTCCAAGATAAAGATAAAATTTTTTCTTACAAAAATTTTTTTCAAATCAATCTGTTTTTATGTTATTTCGTACTATACAATTTTTTCTTTGTGGGATCATTTTCCTACGAGAGGGGATGAGAAGAATTATAGATTGGATTGCTAGCTATGCCTAGATCGCGGATAAATGGAAATTTTATTGATAAAACCTTTTCAATTGTAGCCAATATCTTATTGCACATAATTCCGACAACTTCCGAAGAAAAAGAGGCATTTACTTATTACAGAGATGGTGTGATTTGATTATTTTTGACCCCCCTTTTTGTGAATTTATCCCGGTCTTATGAAAAACCCACGCGATTCGGGAAAATTTTTGAAAGAAATCTACGCTTGTTGAAGGTGAAGTTTGGAAATAAAACAATTCCTTCTGTCGTGTATCCTCGATTAATGCAACCTCAGATGCTATGTTTCAATTTTCGATTCTAGTATTGAGCGAAAGGTTACACCTAGGGTTCTGTATTAGGGGGCAATCCTACTCCACTAGGACTAATGGGCAGCATAAGGGAAGAAAGACTACACCTAGGAATCAACAACAAAAAAACCTTCTTTGAAATTATCCCCTTCCCTTTTGGGCTTGGGATTAAAAGAATGGTTGGGACAACAAACACCCATCTCGTTTGTACTTTGGATACCAATATAACCATCGAAGGTTGTTGAAGCGACTAATTCCTGGAAATTAGGAAGCGTTGAAAACAAAGAAATTGTTGGAGTTTTCATTTCTATCTAGTCCCACCACCTTTGATGTTAAGAAAAGATCTCTTGCAGGAGGGTTGGCTAGAGATTTCTTGTAAAAACACTAGCTCTGCTCAGTCCATAATGAGAAGAGTTTCATCTTTTTTGATTATTCTCCTTATGCATATAAGGGAGGAGCCGTATGAGGTGAAAATCTCACGTACGGTTCTGAAACGGAGATTCTTTTAATTGAATGGCGACCGTAACGGATGTTAGCCCAATCTGAAGGAAATTATGCGGAAGCTTTACAGAATTATTATGAAGCTATGCGACTAGAAATTGATCCCTATGATCGAAGTTATATACTCTATAATATAGGTCTTATCCATACAAGTAATGGCGAACATAGGAAAGCTTTGGAATATTATTTTCGAGCACTAGAAC